AAGTTAACAGCCAAAATGAAAGTAGTATAGTGAATAAACATGACTCACAAAGGTAATGCAAGTTAAATATTTACACAATAAGTTGGCCTACACATTTGCTTTAACCCTTGTGTGGGCTAACTACCAAAAGGCTTTTGGTGAACCTTCAACTTATAGAGCTTCTTGCAATCGTGCAGGCTTTCCTTTAAGGGACATGTAGCTAAGCTAACCAGATTTAGGCTTGTTCCCTGAAGACATGCACTCCTCAATATGTAATATAAACAACTCAGTGCATGCGTATATCAGCAATTTGAACATTGGATCTCCACTAAAATAAAAATCTTAATGAATGTTGTTGTGCTGTACCAATAAATATTGATTTGACTCGGCCATTCAAATATTTCACTCTATCTGTAAAAATTGGCAAGCTCCGTTCATGGTTGGGCTTTACTTTCTTATACCAACATATAGGGAGAACCTCATGAACTTTGGCAGCCTAAGCCCAGCATGCTGCCGCCCTAGCAGCACATAGAAGTGTGAAATCTATGTCAAAACTAAAAGCAATGAGAAAATTTATAGGAGATTCAGAGGGAAAATGGTTCAACTATGAAGTAAAAAGGACAAGTATTCAAGAAAGCTTAAAACAAAGGATAAGATCCCTTCGAACCTACCACAAATGTAAATCGAGCAAATTTTATATATAGAACAGAAAGAATATCCGAATTCTGTTTTGCTTTGGCCATTGCAATTGCCTTTTCATATACCGCACAAGCAGATTCAGTGTTTCCCTGCAGAAGTGAGGTAAAACTTGTCTGTTGCAAATACACTAACAAATTTACTAGCGAACATGAGAAAAATGAACAAAGTGATTGATTTACCATTCGTTTTTCCATATTTGCTTCTCTACCAACGTTCTTGATGAATTCAGCATCAAACTCTATATCAGACCGCAAAAAAGAAGCACGAGCACCCTCAAGATCACCAATTCGCTCTTTAAAGGTTGAACAGTAAATATGGAAAGCTGGCACTCTCTGAGACATTATAACAAAAACAATTAAGGGGAAAAAAGAAAACTAAGTATCTGAAATGAATGAAAAAACTGTTATAAAGAGCCGACATTCTTTTCTTTCTGTTTCTGATAATGATAAGTTGATTGCATTCTCATGGATGATTATTTTGTACTAGCAGAGATAACAGGAAGCCGATAAATGATAAGTTGATTGATTAATCATTGCTAGGTACTTTATAGTTTATGTGTAGTGACAGGAAAAAAAAGTAAAAAACTGACCTTCTAGAAAATTAATAGAAAAGCGCAAATAATAAATTATGAGTGTTTTTGTTTTTTTGAAAAAAAACATCAACCTCCACACCTGCAAGTTTGCCAAGCTTCTATCTTGATTTCAAGAGAGCATTGGATTATCAATGGGTACAATGTCTTCGGATGAGGAAATGTCTTTGGATGAGCATAAGAGGGAAATAAAACCGGAGGGGGAAAAAGTAAAAACCCAAAGAAATTAGAAAACTTACCTGATGCTCTCTTGTTTCGGAAAGTGAGAAAAGAGGAGGAACTCAAGTTATCATCACAAATCCAAACTTCTAAGGTATAATTTTTCCCTTTACCCAATTGAGCCCTTAGCATGATAATGATGAACTGAGTTTGTAATCAGATTTTGAATAAAAAAAGAGATATAAATCCTAGATCCAGCGGGGCTCTCGCCGGCGACCAAGCCAGTCACCCTTGGTCACCGATGTTTGCCCGTCGCCTTCCTTTTGCCATGGCACGAGAGAGTGGGAGAGAGACCTCTGGTCCGATAGTCCCGAGAAGAAAAAAAGAGGAAAATAACCGAACAAAAGAAGAAGAGAAGGGGATCAGATGAAGTAGAAGAGACAGAGGAGAGAGAAAGAGACCCCTAAAATAAAATAACAAAATTTCTTTGGGACCCCTGAAAGTTAACGAGTTTGCATATAAGTCTAGACAATAAAAGAATTGAAAATTTTGTTTAGACCTTGTTGCTCTGTTAATTTGTCAACAGCCCCGAACATAAAGTTTAAACCATGAATAGGCAAGGATATTTACTTTTAGACCCATGTTATTTACTTTGTTTGCAAATAAGTCTAATCTGAAGAATAAAAGATAACTTTTGTGCCTGATTATTTCACTATAGCCCCGTGCCTTGCCATAATTTTGCTAATGGATCCAAAAATATTAATAAAGGAGAGTTATAAAATTTTGCTAGATTGCTAAAATTAGCAAAAAACCTAGGTGTACTCTATTTATAGATTTTAATTATTATTTGATTATAATTGAATCTGATTACCTCTAGATTATGAGTGATTACCTTGTAATATATACTTGTCCTAAGTTAATATTAGTTAATATCTTTATATTATAGGATTTGGTTGATATTCCGGGGAGTAATATTTTGAGGAAGTCATGTCCACTAGATGTGAGTTCCTTACTAGTATTTTATAATATGAAATTGCATGAGGAGTATAATTGATTGATCTTATGCTTAAAAAATATATAATATATTATTTTCATGTATGTAAAGTTAAATATGATTTTATCTATTTTTGTTGTGGCCTAACCCGTAATACGATGACTTCGTACAAGATAATAAAAGTAAATTTAATTATATATACAATATGAAAAATGAATTTAGTTTTCATGCGATCTCAAATAATTGTGGATATTGCTTTATTTGAAAGCTTTTGAAGAAAAGAAGTATTTTGAATGTGTTTCAACAGTTTAATGGATTCAAAGGTTTTTCGTAACTTGGTGTCTGATAAAAATAGAGAAAAGTAAAATTCGTAAATTGTTTTAACTAAGATGTTGAGATTTATACTCGTCCACTTAATTCAAAAATATTTAGCAAATTCTGATATAAGTGATTTGTTTCGGATTTGATAAGCAAATTTCAATGTTTTCAAACCCTCAGAAAGTCCATTATGGAGTGTTCTGCCTATCATATGGTGAATGCACCTTTATTTAGTCTTTCTGTATTTGGCTCTTCTGAAATCTATTCTGACCCTTCTGTATTTGACCAGCAACCTATGATAATGTTATGTGCACTCGATTCCCGGGATTTATCTATTCTGTAATGTGTATTACGCATTCGCATACTACTGGGCTATAATTCGTCGTATTAGTGTGACCTATGAGATAATTCTCACATTTCACGAACAACTCATCAAGATTTAAGATTCTGACAATTGATTGTGATATTGATAAAATAACAACCCTTTGGTTTTGCACAACTTTAATAGTTCTGTTTCTTTGTTATTGTTTACCTAGACTTAATAGTTATAATTCTGGAATATATTACGGTATATTTAATTTGTGAATAAGAAAGAAATATAAATTGTTGTACTCTTTCTTAAAAATAACAATAGTATGTTGTTTGGACCATAGTTTGCCATTTTTGAAATATTTGGTGCAAGACTTATACTTCGCTATAATAATAATAATAGTTTTAGTTATAGCTGAAGCTATAGCTAGCTATAGCTATAGCTATAGCTATAGCTTCAGCTTTAGCTTCAGCTTCAGATATGCCATGTCCACGTTTTCTTCTTTCAATTAGGATGATTGCACAAGAGTCTCTTGGATCTATTTACTCAAAAATAAGTCTGATGTGAGTCATATTTTTCCTATCTTTCACGTAATGATTCAAAATCAATTTGGCACCAAGATAAAGCACTTTCGTTCGGATAATGCTCGTGATTATTTTAATCAAACCTTGAGTCCGTATTTCCAAAATGAAGGAATCATACACGAATCATCGTGTATCACCACTCCACAACAAAATGGAGTGGCAGAAAGAAAAAACCGACATCTTCTTGAGTGCACTAGAACCTTATTGTTTCAACAAAATGTGCCAAAAACATATTGGTGAGAAGATGTACTCACATCCACTTTTGTCATAAACAAAATTCCTTCCAGGGTCTTGGGGTTTCAAAGTCCACTAGAAAACTTGTCCAAATTCTTCCATGATATTCGATCTTCCTTCAATCTCCTCGCGTTTTTGGGTGTACTTCCTTTGTCCATGTTCATAGTCATAACCGTGGGAAGTTAGATCCTCGTGCTCTCAAGTGTCTTCGTGGGGTACTCATCTACCCAAAAGGGTTACAAATGTTACCAATACCATCCACTTACTAGAAAACTCTATATCTTAGCCGATGTTACATTTGTTAAAAATAAGCCCATTTTCACCACTCCTTATCTTCAAAGGGAGTTACATACACTTGAAGATAAGGATTCGAACTTTCCACCCCTAAAGTCATCCAAATCTGAGTCATCCAAATCTGAATCTCAAACATCCCAAAAGACAATTCCACAATCTGATGGGTTGGAAGAAAAATGGAAAGGAGATGGTAAAATCTTTGGCAGGTTCCAGTTTGACCAAGTGTATGCAAGGAAAGGAGATGCCATCGTGACTACAAGGCAAGAACAATCCTCTAAACCAAGCTCCAGAAATGAGGTAAGCTCTGGAAATGAAGTAACAGTGAGTGAATCAAATCTGAATTCTACACTACAAACAGACCATCCTTCTACCAACCCTAAGTCACCTTGTCCCAAACCTCTTAGCTTTGACCAGGACCTACACATGCCTATTGCTGTAAGAAAAAGACCCGAGAATGCACAAAAAGACCTCTATACTCATTGCTCACTTTGTGTCTTTTGAGAAGTTATCCCCAAGCCATCAAAGTTTCCTTTCCACCTTAAATACAGTTTCTATTCCCAGCTCATTGTCTGAAGCATTATCAAAGAAAGAATGGAGACTTGCTATGAAAGCAGAAATGGATGCATTAGAGAAGAATGGGACTTGGGAATTGGTTGATTTACCAAAGGGTAAGAAAGCAGTAGGCTGTAAGTGGGTATATGCAGTAAAATTTAAGACGGATAGGTCCCTAGAACGCTACAAGGCGAGGTTAGTCGTGAAAGGATATACACAGACATATGGAATAGATTATCAAGAAACGTTTGCTCCATTAGCAAAGATGAATACAGTGAGGATTTTGTTGTCCTTTGCTGTTTTTTATTAGGAATTACAGCAGTACGATGTGAAAAATGCCTTCCTTCATGGAGAATTAGAAGAGGAGATTTATATGAGCATTCCACCGGAATTTAGTTGGGTTGACAAAAACAAGGTTTGTCGATTAAAAAAAGGCATTATATAGGCTGAAACAATCCCCACGAGTTTGGTTTGGACGGTTTACTAAGGTGATGATAGCTAGTGCCTACAAGCAAAGTCAAGGAGATCACACGCTTTTCATCAAGCATTCGGCCTCAGGGGGAGTCACTGTTTTAATTGTGTGCATGGATGACATTATAGTAACAGGAAACGATGAAGTAGAGGAGGCCTTGAAGCGGTGTCTAACCAAGGAATTTGAAATAAAAGATTTAGAAAGATTGAAGTATTTCCTTGGAATTGAGGTGGCTCGATCAAGGCGGGGAATTTTTATTTCTCAACAAAAGTATGTTAAAGACCTGCTCAAGTAAACAGGCATGACGGCTAGCAAACCGGTTGGAACTCCCATTGAACAAAATCACAGATTAAGTGAGGCTCTTGGAGATAAGGCAATGGATAGAGAGATGTACCAAAAACTTGTTGGGAAACTAATCTATCTCGCACATACTAGGCCAGATATAGCTTTCAAAGTCAGTGTTATCAGTCAGTTTAAGCATTATCCTAAAGAAGTTCACCTACAGGCAGTTTACCGAGTGCTTCATTACTTAAAAGCACATTCAGGGAAGGGAATTTTATTCACAAAGAGATCTGCAATTGATCTAGCAGTTTAGAATTTTATTCACAAAGAGATCTGCAATTGATCTAGCAGTTTACACAGATACAGACTTTGCAGGGTCACCAGTGGATAGGCGATCTTCAGGCTATTGTACCTTTCTTGGAGGAAACTTGATATCCTGGAGAAGCAAGAAACAGTGTGGTGACAAGGTCAAGTGTTGAAGCAGAGTTCAGAGCTATGGCAGCAGGAATATGTGAATTATTGTGGGTCAAAATTATGTGGGCCA